TACAACTTTATGTTTGTATTCACCATATGATGCTAATGTGTGCAGTGCTAGTCTTAAATTGACTGATTATGTTACCACCACATTGCTGCTGCTCTTGCTTTTATCAGTCTTTGCTTGTATGCACGGATTTACATTGCTACAGATATACTGTAGGTTCCATGGGTTTTTTCCCACATAAAGGTACAATCTTACCTGTGGATGCCACAATCATGATTTAGTTCTGGTGCAGTACCTTAGCAATCATGGCTGTCTGCTCTTTGCTACCTCTTTTGATCAGTTTTTGTGATGTGGAGGCCCAATTGTCCTTTTGCGTGGGAACCCGGTCAGGTGTTGTTGGCTGTCAGCATCATGATGGTGGGCGGTAATTGCGTGAATCCGCTGCTATGCGGAGATCCCAATGTCAAAAACGGGAGCAGCCGATTGGCAGCCTCTGCTGGCCTTTGGGTCTCCTGAGTGGCCATTAGAAGCTGCTCCGATTATGCCGGGGCGCTCTCGTTCGAGAGAGGCTCGAACCCAGCTGAGGCACGGCTGGTTCATTGTGCTTGGAGTTGACGCGGGTTAGGGTCAGCAAGGGGTCAGTGCTTTCTGAAGTCGGTTCGCTGTTTGCAGAGTCAACTCGACTTGTGGCGGAGGAGCTGTTGGTTTATATACGCCGGGTGATCCTACAGGCGCTCGGGCACAAACATAACCTTCAGCTGTTGTTGTGTACACAAGCCCCCCTTACCCACTCCCGCCAGCAAATAAGACCATAAAAGCCAGGAGTCCAATTACCCACCTGAAATAAAGCTCTTATCCACTGGAGGATACAGCCTGACATAGTGCTACAGCTTCAAGCACACACTCAAGGCCGTAGGTATACAGTAGAGCTGCGCTATGTGCTAATGCCTAGCAGATCCATACCCTCCCCACCTCGTTCATCACCCCTTTTGTTGGTGTTTGTTGCTGAGATAACAAGCCATCATCTTCCAATAGCCCTCGGAGGACAGCACAATGTTTCTGAGCTGGGTGAGGATCAAGTGGGGGGATCGCATCTCCCTGCCCCTCATTCTAACACCCTTTCCTCGATGCTGCAGATTCACTCGATTACTCCTGTATCAATCTCTGAGAAGGATCTCACATTGCCTGGACATTTCAGTCAGACAAAGTAAGACGTTCCAGGTTGTGTTTGCCCTTGCCGATCAAAAAATAAATAAAAAATACAGGAATGGCAGAAAAATGAATCGTTTGTATCTCTCCTTTGAAGGATTTTGTGAAGGTTATTGTTGGCGGTTATATGGTTCCAGCAACCCCTGCTGAATACAATCATCTCTCCAGTTCTAGATTAGGCAAAATGGAAATGGTGCACAATAAACAAACAGGGCTGCTGCAGGGATGGGATTCTAGCTGTGCAATCACACCAAGACACCAAAACAACCACACAGCACTGGGTAGATGACTTGCAGCAGTCTAATTAAAACAGTTGCACAGTTCCACAAAGCACAACCTGCCTCATTTGTAAATGTATAATGTGCGATTGTGTGTTTAAGAGAGGGAGAGAGAAAGAGAGAGAGAGAGAAAAGGGAGATACAGAATATCTTTGTAGCTGTTGATCTCGCTTGTGCAATTCTGTGTCCTTGCCTAGTGGACCAGGCCTGGTGCATCTGGTATAGGTTAGTGTGCCACATCAAAGGGAAAACTTCACAGAGGCGAACGGCCTCTGAATCTCACCCCCCCATCCCATCTCCCTGAGTCATTTGCCCTGTGCTATGCTATCCAGAGCACATTCCTGATAATGGCAGGCAGCCTTTGCAGATCGCTCACCGCCGATAACACATTGTGCATTCTTTAAATGACACATCAGTGGACTGAGCTTCATGGAAGAAATTGCCAGTGGCATTTGAGCGTGTTCTAGGTGAAATAACTATCATTCTTCCTGACTTACAGTTTATTATCTGAGCCACTTATGTGAATCTGCGGAGTTAGGACTGATGTATAAAAAATGGAACAGGACATCGGTGAGAGCATGCGCGTATGTGTGAGGTCAGGTGCACGGCTGCCACGGCTATCATCTTGATTGATTTGATAGCTGCCAAATTCCTGAAAGGCTTTGCTCTTGTGCCATGCGCAGGGGTTTAGCTGAGTTTAAGATGATGATAATGCCTTGAGCTATGAAAAGGCCTGGGTAATCAACCCCATGCAAAAGACCATTCAAATGACCAAACTCATCTGTCAAACCGCTCCGAATCTAGCCAGCACTTCATTCAGAGAGATTTACATTTCTGCTCTGCTTCTAAGGATTGGCAGAGTCTCAAAGAAGCCACATTTGGAGCACCATTTGCTTGCTATCATTATCAGTTTTTTAGTAAAATAAGCATGTCACTGTTTATTGGCAATACCAGTCAATGATCTGCAGTAGCACGCTGACCACTGCACATTGTTACTGGCGGCTGACTAATGTATCTGAAGGCTGTTTTTTTGCCACGGGCTAAGCACACACAAATTCGACCCAAAAATACTCAACTCTATTATCGCTGCAATAAAGAGATAATGACCCAACAGCGGGAATACATTTGCCAGGGCACCCATCTCTACGAAAAGGGGGCCGAAGGATAAGGAGTCATTAAGGCAGTGTTATCTGGTCCAGATAGCATTGGCATGTCTGCGTAGATCATTATTTTCGCCCCTGGAGCCGTTTGCCAAACGAGGAGAGTGGGGCTAACGGAGACTCTGGGGTCAGCTGCGGCACGGGGATGAGGCGGCTAACGATACGCGGCCTGGCAGCTAATGCTTTTTCTAAATGCTCCTAATGACTATTTTGTGGAAGAAAACTTGCATTTTTTTCGTTCTCTTCCCTCTTCTTGTCTTCCTCTGTGCTTCATCGACGTTGCTAAGGGGGGACGAAGCTGAGATGTGTTTTTTTTTCCCTTTATCTTCCTTTCTTTCTTTGCTCTCTTCAGCTTTTAGATCTCTAACAAATGCCCAGGCGAGTAGCAAGGGTCTGATACAATAACAACAGCATGTTAAATAAGACACCGTTTCTTACATGCGCCGTTTCTCCGTGTGCTCTTGGCGAGTTGGGTGTTCTGCAGCGCCAGTCTCTCTCAGAGGATAAAAAAAGGGCTGATGAAACCGCTCTTTGTTCACTGCGACGATGAAGTTATAAGGTGAGGCGTTTGAGACTTAGAGAATGCACTGGAGAAGACTGGAATTTTCTCTCCAAATGGGGTAATGGCTGCTTTAATTCTCGTAACCACAGGCAATATGCAGAGGCTTGTTTAACACAGAGAACGTGGATGTCATAGATTGACATTGTGACGCAAGTGCTTGGCCCCCTACACTGTAGATACTATATTAAACTGCTGCAGTCACTTGCATTGTGCACTCATATGCAAAAGTTTGGGTGCCCCTGGCCCCATTATATGTTTAATTTTTTACATGAGAACACATGCTCTAAAGGGAACACACTTTAATACACAATTAGTTTATTCTCTGAATTTAACACACTGAGAAAACAGAATATAAAATGTGGCCTGTGCAAAAGTTACGACACATTTTATATTCTATTTATTTTTTTCCTAAAATGTTAAACTCAAACAAATAGAAATTGCACACGAAAAGTTGCAGGATAATGTCCCATTAAAGTTTGTGACACACTGGAGTGGCCTGACATGAGTCTAAGGTCACTAAACCCAATGCCTAGTGTTGACTAGAAGGGTATAAAGCTCCCAGCACTGGTCTGCACTGGAACTGTGTTAGGAGCACCATCCAGTACCTTCATAATGAATTGGAGTGTCGTTTGTGATCCAGAGCTAATCATCCAACATCATTACCTGACCTTGCTCAATCATATCCTTAGCATCCAGTGTAAAGCTTTCCTAGTAAACTACAGGCTGTTCCTGAAGTAAAGGTGGGACAAACACCCTATTAATACCCCAGATTTCAAAGAAAATGTTGGATGAGCAGGTGTCAAAGTTCCGTAGGTACAGCATCGATAAGCTACTGTCATTGTGGAAAATACAATACATATTAGCCTAATGCAATTACAACAACAGGCTACACAAAATTCGCTCATTCGCTTGATAAGTCATGAGAAAATGATCATTAACCTAGTGTTTTTCTTCCCTCTCCCACCATTTCTTCAAGACTTAGTGTAGTTTCAGAGCAGTCTCTGTCTCCGTTGAGGGACTTAACAGCTTGAGTCTAATCAAAGACATTTTTCCCTCTGTGTTTCAGGCTAAAGAAATTCAATTAGTTTAATTGGTCTGCTTATTATGGGCTGTAATGTGATGAGTGTGCTGCTATTGTCAAACTTCACAGGCTACTTTAAACTGCCTCCCTAATTAGAGGAACTTTAATCTCACTGTTTTACTTGTACAGTAAGGAGGATCTTAGAACACTCTTCTGGCTTCACTTGTAAACCAAACTACAAAAGGCTTTAAGTGGTTTGAGTGTGGGCCTCAGTCGGGGCCTGTAGGGCTGGCGCAGGCAAAGCAGGAATTCAGCTTTCAGCCATTTTAAAATGCTTCGGTCTCCTCGCCACACAATACATTAATACCCCCCAACGTTTCCACTGAAGGTGATTATCTCTACTCTTCAATTCAGCTGATCCCTCTAAATGCACTCTACAGCTGACAGATTCCCTGGCTGTTATGCTTCTACCCCTTGCTTTTCAGTAGGGGGGATAAAAAAAGAGGGTGGCGATTTTTGAGGTGCAATGACAACAAAATGGCTGACAAAAATGATTGCACTTACGATCAATCATAGAGCAGAGAGTACAGCATGGTCTGGTGGCTAGGCTAATGGAGTGGCGACCGGAGAGGCCTCCACTGGCTCCTTTGCATCTACACTTGTGCCCTTGAGTGAGGCACTTAACCTAAATTGCTTCAGTAAACACTTGCTGGCAGAAATGGACGGAAGACTATGCGAAACCAGCCTGTTAGCTGCCTTCTTCTTCTCGCAAGGACGCGCCACCGGATTAGCGGCTTAAGGATGGGGAAAAAAAACACCACCAGCACACAACATTAACACAATAAAACTGTATTACATTTGTGATTAAAATGATTACAATACAGTATGTACACGTGTCCTAAAAATAAACATCTCATGCTGAGTGACACATAAAAAGAAAATCAATATATAATAGCAAGCAAAAAGGAATATTTTTTTTTTCCAAATATGTACAACAACCATTTACAAATCATTTTGTCGTTTTATCTCGGCTTTACCCTCAGTTTAACTGAAGTCTGTCAAAGGGATGCTGCTTAAGCTTGGTACAGCAGTGTTAACTTGCACTTAGCTGGTTGCTCTGAGCCTACAGCCAAACACCTGGCCAAAGGGGGAAAAACCCTCAAAGCCAAGAGTTCAGAAGATACATGAACACTTCTAGCTTGTGTGACCCAACGTGGTCTTCAAGTTAGCACAAGTGTTTGCCGGCGTGCAGCTAATGAGGCAACACTTGTGAGGTTCAGCAACTAGACAGTGATTGAATTCAAGTATAAACATGCCAAGGACAAAGCCTCAGTACGATGCACAATGACAAAAAGAAAAAAAAACTATCAAATAAATACAGTGTATAAAAGAAGTAAATCAGACCCACCCCCCTGCCCACCCCACCTCACAAATTCACTTTGTGCCAAATCCCACCCGGTGTCCTGACAATTGTCTAGTGTATGTTCTCCATCATCAAACTGCCTCCATGTATTCTGAGTCATTTCTGAAGGCCGAATTTAGATACAAAGCAGGTGTTTTTTCCCAGAACATGGTATAATCTTACTAATGAAATTGCATCATTAAGTGTAGTCATTTTAGGCGGATCTGCTGAATCCATAAGAAAGAGTCAATGGGGGGTAAGTCAAAGGAGAGCTGAATAGTGCTCAGCTGGACGGGGCTAAGGATGACTGCCTATCGCTTTTTTTCTCACAAAGGGAAAAGAGAAGAAAAGTAATAGAAAAGAGAAATAAGGAAACCCACTCAACCTGAGATCTTATGTTGACACAGCTCCCTCTCTCACAGCCATACCACACTTGTGCCTTTTCACCAATCAATTCCTTGATTGTTTTCTCATTTTTTTCCCTTCTCTGTGGTCCTCGGCCTGTGAAGGGAGTGAAATGGGGGTCACTGTGATTTGGAGAGGGGTCTTGGAGAGTGGCTGCGTTTTGCAGGGTTAGATGTATGTGTATGTGTGTATGTGTGTGTGTGTTTGTGTGTGTGTGTGTGTGATAGAGAGAGAGACAGTGTGTGTTTGTATGTGTAGCTGAGGTGCCAGGCCAAGGGGTCAAATGTCTCCATAAGGCCATGTGGGGCAGGGGAGAGGCAGGGTCGTTTTCAAAAGAACCACAGCAATGTCCATGACCACCGTCACTTTGCTCTTGGTGGGCGGGGCGTAAGAAAACCCCGCCTTTCCCACTCACAAAAAGTCTCTATGGCTATTCTGTACAGCAGTGCCCCATAACTGGGCTATCTTATGTACATTATCAAGGACAAGGGCTGGAGAGGATGCTAGTGCTTTTGGTGTTTGATTGCATGTCCTCTTTTGGGTCCTCTCTCAGCTCTCTCTCCCCCTGCAGGCGAAAAGGGTCATGCAGGGGTCAGCGGACCTGCGGGGCATAGCCTTCCTTCATCAGACCTTCCTCGTAGTCCGTCTGACACAGGATCATGTTGTTCTTCAGGAAGAATTTGTCGCCGACGCAAAACCTGAAAGATGACGATAGAGAGAGAGAGAGAGAGAGAGAGAAAGATACGGGGGTTTTGTTTAATGTGAGAGAATCACAGATGGGCTCATCATTAGCCATCAGGTGTAGGCTTCCCTCAGCGTACGAGTCTTCCTCTGTATACTGAGGCAACGAAACTCGGCCATGAGCGCTAACCCACCACCTCGCTGTTACTGTGTGAGTAGGACTTGACCTGAGGAAAAGCGGTGTGTGTGTATGGTATATAGCATGTATCTCTGGAGTGCATCAGTAGCGTGGAGCTGCTCCTGTACCTGCAGCTGCTACATAAATAAATCGCAAAGACGGAAGACAGTTGCAGCCTGCCCAACGGGCCACTGTCTCACTTGACCTTTCAGAAAGGAGGCTTTGTTGGCCAGGAGAGAGAGGGGGAGGGAGAGAGAGAGAGAGGGGGAGAGGAAGAGAGGGAGAGGGAGAGAGAGCAGGTAGTAAGAGAGAGAGTGTGAGAAGGGTAATGATAAGTAAGACAGTGAAAGAGAGAGAGAGGGGGATAGAGAAACAGAGAGAGAGAGAGAGAGCTCCTCTGTGTCGAGCTGTCCTGAGGGCCGCTTATCTTGCTCACAGCGAGAGTTCGACAAGGTCGGACTACGAGTGCGCGCTTCTGTTTACCCGAGTTTCTCTCTCCTCTCCTTTCTCTCTCGGTATGTCTGTGTACCTGACGCTCCCCCATCACCATTTTTACCAGAAGATTAAAAGACTAGTTCATTCTCTGCTTGAGGCTGTAACAGGAGCACAAACAACGCAAGTAGGCTTCAATCCCCCTGCGTGCCCATTTGCCTCCAATTAAGAGAGCTTAAATATGTTCTGTTGACCACACTGCATTGTTTTGGGGGATAGAAAGATCAATTGAACGAAGATAAGTTAACCTTTCCGTCTTTCTAGCGCCTAATAAGCGACAGAGACAGCCCGGAATAAACTGCATCTAATCCTGCTCTCTTTGCTGGTGAAACTTTTGAAAACTTTCTATTAGTCACAGGTGACAATGTCAGGCGGCAGCCACAGCCATTAGGGAGGATCAAGTATCAACAAGTAATATCCATTAATCCTGCTTGTTGACATGGTGATTAACACAAAGCAGAGGTGTGCTTAATGTAATGGTGTCACTGGCTCCAATAAAAACGTCCTGTTTAAATGACACATTCTTCCTGGGAATCCATTAGTGTCTGTCTTCTTTGACATTCGGGCCTTCTCCTCCTCCTCGTACCTCCAGCCCTTTCTCTCTCTCTGTGTCTCTGCTAATAGGATCCTTGTGTGTTTATTTAAAGCCTGTGTTTTCTGCTGCCTCTTAGTCTCGTCACCGCCCTGTTTCATAGCGCCAAATTGTTTCTGCTTGGCGAAATGTCAACAGCGCCTGTGACATCTGTGCGCCAATTATGACGAGGATATTGCAGGCAGCCCATCAGAGGTAGCAGTAATAAATGCCCTTGTGCTGCCCTCCGTCTTGCAGCTCTTGCAGTCATTACGGATCACCACATGTTCAGAGCACCGGCATTACCCTCAGCTTTATGTGGTGCCATCCCTCCCTCTCAATAATGCTTTTTGCCTGACTTCAACATCCTCACTTGCTTTTCAGTAGTTTTACTTTGGGAAAATGATACAACTGTCTGATTTTGAGTTTGTACTTTGACAACATAGGCTGATGGAATTAATTCTATCTTTCTTTCCTTCCTTCCTTCTTCCTTTCTCCTTCCTTCCTTCTTTTCCCTCCCTCCTACTCCTTGCCCCCCTCAGGTCTGACAGTCATGATGAATATGTCTATTGAGACCCATCTAGTTGAAGAAAAGATAGCTTCCAAGGCAGCACACTTAATGATGTATGGCTACGTCTGCGATTTGCCTGGAAGGGCTGTGTTAACTATAGTAGTAACATCTCCTCGACAAAATAACAGGCAGTCACTGAATGAGGGATGTAGAGAATACAAGAGAGCTTGACAGAATATGAGAGCGCTGGAGAGAATGGAATAGAATAGGACAGAGTTAACAAGAACACAACAGAAGCAACTCATTAGAAATCCTTATTGCCCAATTTTTGTTTTTTTTTTATGTATTTTTTTAAATAATTTAAAATGGCAAATGCTTTACAAATCTTTAATGGTTTTTTTTGTTGTTACATGAACAGATAATATGTTTTTTCCTCCTCCTATGAAGTTACCCTTTTTAGAGATATGAGATCTTTTTATGCCAGCAATGAAACGTTTTGTGCCACTGATTATTTCCAACTTTCCGGCGACCATTAGAAGCGGTGTTTGCAACCTTTCAGTGACCACTAGAAGCACCATTAGACTGGCACTGAGACACACTGATCTATCTGTGGGGAAAGGATAGTCATTTGGTTCCCACAGTCCACAGCACACTGATCCCTCCTGCACAAGTGCAGTCCCTGAGCATTGTCCAGCCCAATTTGGCTCCAGCAAACTCTCTGTCCTCTCTAGCAGGGACATAGAGCCTCGTCGGTGACATCCCCCCTAGTATGGGACCCTGGGCCCATGTCCCTGTGCCTGTCCCCGGGGAGCCTCTGGGCGGCAGTGGTCAGGCTCATCGGCACGAGCCGAGTTGTCTGAAGCAGCCTGATGAGGCCCGAGTGGACGACAGGCTCATCGATTAGCTGTTCCCTCAGGGCTGATCTGTGGCTAATGGATGGCTAGAGTCTCCCAACGTCTAACACACACACACACATACATACACACACACACACACACACGGCATACACATACAGACATGACAGGGCAGTAGCTGTTAACTAAGCTGAGGAAATAACTCTAACCCAGGTGATGAGACTCTGATCTAACCCCAAAAGATTAAGGGCAGGTTTCAGACAGGGAAATTCACACGCAGGGGATAGGGCCTAGTATTGTACTATTCTGTATTGTAAACAGTTGACTGGCTACAAATGATAATTTTTCTTGCACAAGTGTTGGGAGACACATAAATCATATATAGGGCTGCACATTGTGAACAAAATGCCATAGTATGATTGCACTGCTAGATACTGCAGCTGCAATTTGCTTGGCAAACCCATATCTCTGAAATGGTGACTTTAAAGGAGAAGTAATTAAATGTACATTAATGTAACAATTTTATTCCAAGGAATTTAGGAATTTCTGTTGGTCCACTTATCATGAAATGCTCACATGATCAAAGGGTCAGCTGGCAAATGGTGTAAAAAACAAATACAAAACAGAAAAATGAAGATAAAAGGTTTTGATATAACAGTAATGAAATTAATACTAATTGGTGAACCCAATTATGTACCAAAAACAGTCATAATTCATGTTTACATGACCATGTTCCAACCTCTCTTTATCCCTTACTAAACAGGCTGTTTTTTTTGCTGCACCTTTAAGACTGATATATGTAAATGAGGCTAATATGTCTAAAATGAGGTCTGTTCTGATTGGCTGAGCAGTAATGTGCCTCATTCAAATAGCTGTCCACGTTGAAACAGCCCTTATAACTTCAACGTGAATGGGCTGAGCTCCACTGCTGTAGACTGTAAACTAAATCTGTTGTTTTTTGAAGGACATTGCAAAAACATCAAATTCAAAATGGGCTGTTTTTGCAGCTTAGTTTCCACATATGGACTGTGAGGACTGCAGAGTGAACAGTATGTTTTAAAACTTTAGCACACAACATAAAACTCTTTTTATTTCAAAATAGCAAGGAGATAAAGTTTTTAGTTAATAGTTCCTTTAAAGATTGGTCTTCATTACTTTTATCAAATCTACCTCTATGGGATCATGTAAATGTCATTGAATCTAGTTTCACATCAAAACTAGAATACTGGGATTTGTGGTCTTCCACATATATCAATAAATCAGTATTTTCATGGCTAATACCACAATATAAATTAACAAATCATATATCAAGTAACCCTTTTCATATCTGAAAAATGCTATCTGGTGCGATCAAATTTTGTCTATCTAGCACCAGGGAGATGGATTCAGTGTCTCTAAATAGCTTCCATTCCATGCCTGAGCGTAGCAGTCAGTCCAGTTCAGTGCAGCTCGCTCTGATGAAATCAGGCTAATCACTGGCAGTATGTAACATTCCCTCCTCTCAGCTGTGCTTTTGTGTGGGCTGCACTGACTAATAAAGCTGCTTTAAAGGAGATGATGGCTGTGTTGATGCGTATGTGTAGGGGTACGAGGGGGGCTATGGTGTGCTTATGAGCTTGATTGTAGCCATTTAACCACCGAACACCAATGTTGGGCCACTGTTGACCCTTTAGAGGGAGAGTAATTACATGTTGTGAACCCTGCTAACATCCAATAGCCATATCTGTGTAACAGAATCTAACAGTGAGACCATGACTGCCATTTTCTAAAATGGATTAGATGACTTTACTATAGGCCAGGCCCTATTTATATTTGTTCTAGAGTGACACAATATGGACAAAATACTATAACTGTGATTATATTGTTACAGATTGTGATTGCAGTATGCCTTACAATACACTAAAACACACTGGTATGCCTATGAATTGTCAAGCTGGCCTAATTGTCAATTGTATCAATTACAAAAACTGTCCTAAAAAAAATTATTTATAAACATTTTGATTTTTTTGGTTTGATTTTATGTTTTATGAATGCCTTTTCCAACTCAGATGGAAAATCTGAGATTGATCATGATGTTCATAGCACTCAGTAAAAAACATGAAGCTAATATTGCAATAATGATTAACAAATGATACAAAGACCTGTAGCTTGTTTGAGGCAGTGTAATGACACAGCACAAGCACCAAAGGAGAAGTACTGCTTATTTCTACATTATCTCTATAGTAAACCAAAGAAATTATTGAATAAACTTAATTTTTATTTTCCTATTCTTATTTTCTTCTTATTATCTTAATTTAGGTTTTATTTATTTTCACTATTTTTCTACCAACTTAACCCCTTACATGGCCATGGGGCTGTCAGCGGACCCAAAGTTTTATTACGCACTTCTAAAAACTAAGACTAGCTCCACTAGTTTGCTCTGAACAACCTGTGGTTAGTGAATAATAAGCCTTGGTAGGAAATTGGCCTGGGATTTTAAGGGGATGTGTTGGACACATCATCCAGTACCCTCATAAAAATAAATACGTCACATAGGGTTGTCTGGAGCAATGTCATCAAATAATCTTTTTTGGTTACATAAAAATGTAAAGAACCTTCAACAGATGGTCCTTTCAAGAATCATTTTTACAAATGAGATGTGTGAGTATGAAGAAATTTTACAAAGTTCATATACCAATAAGCCTTCTTTTTCCCAGAAGTGTATGTCCAAGTAACTATTTAGGAACCATCACTTTTAGCTGTGTAGCTGTTGTGTGTGAAGCAGTTTACTCTATTCTAATGAGAATATGACCAATTATGTTCTAAAACCCTGAACACTGTATGACACATGATTAATTTCTCTCCTGCTAAACGTGCCACGTGGCAGCTAAAATTTAGGTTCTTAGATGTTTTTCCAGAAATCCAACATAAAACAGTGATGGTTCATTTTCATGGTTGCGGTTTATGGTTTTGGTTCCTTTGTAATTTTGCCTGCAGAACTAAATGTGGAAAGCAAGCAAGGAGTGCACTGCACTGGAAGCCCCTGATAAGCAAATCAACATTCAAACTGAATTTGGTATGAGTGCCAATTGAAACTGAAGGGAGTGCTCCCTCCCTTTTTTTGAATATCTACTGCCATCGCAGGCAGTTGACAGAGTCTGCCTGTCCTTACTGATGTTTATCAAAGAACATCACAGCGCTGGCGTGAGCCGATATAAGGGTGACGCATGGAGCCATCAGTGTGACAGCAGTCTAACGCACAGGCCTGCCATTCCTCCATCCTCCTTTCTTTCAGAGAAGCGTGTAAAATTTTGTGAGGCGCTTTCACAAAAATCCGGCGAGGGAACAACAAAGCCGCTCAGAAGTGTCAGGTGCCATGTGTATGTGTACGTGTCTGTGTAGATAATATCTCGTCAAGTTGTTGACAAATGAATTTGTGCGCAGTCAAATGGCATTGAGAGGGGGTGGATTTACATATCTATTGAGGCTCCATTCTCCAGAGTCTTGCTCCCCACATAGGAGGTCTGATGAAATAGGCTCTTCTGGACTGCCAGCCTATAAATTAAAAAACGAACAAAAAAAAACTGTGTTCACCTAGATTATTTATTATTTTATCTGCTTGAAGTCTTTCATATAGCATTTTTCACAGTGCTAATTTGTGGACTATAAGTTTCCATTACTTGATAGCTACATTAGGCTTGTAGCTCCTGTGCAAAACCAAAGAAACACACTTTGGACATCAAATATGTCCTGGCTAATCGACTACCTACAGGGTAAGGGGCAAAAAGTTTTAATTTGATTATTACTTGAAGGCCTTTCCAAACATCACAGCTCTAAAGTGCTGAGAAACTACAGGAGAACTTAAGCCTCAGGGTGAGCAACAACAGCAATTAGCGCCAACACTATGCCATAAATCTTGTCGTGAGGGCGGGCGAAAATGTGATGGGCAGGCGAGGCCTCAGTGGAGAATGCCTGGAACTGACGTCGATTTTATTAAACAGTTGATCGGCTGGCCTAATGTAAAAAGAAAGATTTGCCCAGGTCTAAATGGGTTTTAATGCCAGGCAGGCCAGTGGACCCAGGCTGGGCCCTTGCTGATGAAGATTAGCTGACTTCTTGCATTAGGTGAGCGTGTCTCGCACAGTCAAGTGAAGTGGCAAGACAATAACCCAGTGCTAATTGTGCGTAACCAGAGCCTGCAATCTGTCCCGCTGATGTGCACTGCTCTCAGTGTGTGTGTGAAAGAGACAGAGAAACAGAGAGATCTCTGCTAAACTGTCCATGCTCACGCTTTCTTCCAAGTGTAAAGGGGATGGACGCTACACTGACCTCACCTTCCCACAGTTATCCATGGTGAGATGACAAATAGCCGTTTTCTCTCATGGTGAAAGAGGACTGACAGTGCAATTTACTCCATATGGAATGATGGAACAAAACAGATCAGGCAATGAAAAAAAATAGTATGTATGATAATTCAAAATATTGCATACCTTGTTTGGTCACAATTTAGACTTACTTAAAACACACAAGCACAGTGCATCTTGCGAGTGCTTGCCAGTTTTAGACATCTCGGTGGAATACTTTCCAACATGAGCTATATGCAGTGTGTGATAATCAAACAGGGAAACCGTTTCACTGCCTGCATCAAGGATTCAGCAATGTTTCTTGACTAATATGTGTGGGCTATGACAGTCTGAACATGGCCTAGTTTGTGTGATGGCTGTTTATGATGACAGCAAGTAATCATAATGATGAGGAGTGTGTGAAAGGATTACTGACAAGCGTCATCTAGACCTGAGTGAGACTTCACTCCTCACACACGTATTCATAAACGCATGCAACCCTGAGCTTCAGGTTTGATGGAAATGTCAGCTAACACAGTGGCTCTGATCAAAACTTCAATGGTTCCCACAGGTTGGAGGAAGACAGACTGGCAGTGCTTACCTCTGGTTACAGAGCTGGCAGGCAAAGCAGTCGAGGTGATAGACGTTCTCCTTGGCCCTCATGACCATCTCGAAAGCTGGGATGAGCTTGCTGCAAGCTGCACAGTTCCCCGTCACGCCGAACAACCTGCCAAAACAAACAAAGATTCAACCCCTTCGGAAGACCATCCCCAGATAGTGAAAGATCAATAACGGAAATGCGGCAGAATGCAACGGATTGCGCAGGGTTACTTTCCTGCCCTTGCAAAAGCAAAACCGTGCTGCCTTGGCTTGGCTTCTTCTCCCTAAAGCTCATCATTACAGCTCAGTGTGATGGGTTAAACAATCATAATAATATGGACTTAGAAGGTGCCCTAAAGGTATGATGGACAGGTCAAGTGCAATGGAAATATCGTGGAGATGACTAGTGCCACTGACATGGGCTAGACAAGGTTAGCACCATAGAGCCAAGCAGCTGAGACTCTGCCCAGGGAAGATCCTATTATTTTAGAGGCTGCTTGCGGGACATTACAGAGAGAGAGAGGATTCATTAGGGATTCATGACTGTTACTTCATCGCGACCTAGCCTGAGTAAAGGGAGGCAGGAAAAAGAGAGGGAGAGAGAGAGAGAGAGATCTGATAACAAAATCATATAACAAAATAACCTATTAGGCAGACTTCTCCAGGCACTTTTAGCCGTCGTTGTTAAAATGATAAAACTGCATGCCACTCTCTGAGTCTGTAAGAGATCGCAATCTGATAAATGATCTCAGGGCCCGGGATATGCAGGGTTGTTTATTAACCTTCAGAAAGCATGTTCCCTACAGGCAAAAAAAAAGGAAATAGATAGATTGTACTCTTATGAATACCTACAGAATTAAGGGCTACTGTCAACACACCTTGAGACAATGAAGGCTAACTGGGGGAGAGCAAATGAGGTTTCAGTCATTGGTTCAGTACCAATACAATTAAGAGAATTATGCCTTTCCCTTTGAGCTGTCTAAATATAGATACATTTGTGTTATCTTTCGTCCCCTACTCTTTTCTGTGCAAATGCCAGAAGGCCTCAGCATGAAACAGATGAAATTATGGGTTTAATTTTACTCTTACCAAAGACATGCAATTGATCTAAAGCATCTAAATATGATGAACATAAAAGGACACAAAAAATTAAAAGTGCTGTAAACTCTTACAGCCATGGAAGGAGACGCACCCACCTACAATTATGATGAATTAAAATGGAAAAGGAGAAGGGCATACAATGTAAGGTTACAAAAAGAGACTCCATGAAAAATGCTGTTGGGATAAAAAGCTGATTTGTTTTAGGCAGAGAAAACATTCGGCTTTCATCTGATAAATGATAGACGATGCCCATATGAAAAAGTGATGCCTGAAGGTTTTTTTGTTGTCAGCTTGAATCAAAATAGCATTGCATTTCACCATTCTCACAATCTGAGTGCTTCAACTTCCCATCTCTTAAATTTAAGTGGCCCACACCTTTGAATGGGTCTGTCACACAATTTTGCTTTGGGCAAATGGGCATATAGGTGTGGGCTTTGCAAATACACAAGGCCTTGCATGCCCCCCTGAGTGAGGAATAAACCTGCATTTATTTGCCTGCTGTGTTTCAGCTTCACCCCAGTTGGGGTCCTGTTAGGTGGAGTAATACACACAGTTGTAAACGATATGGGAAATCAGCAGCTGGAGTGATGTTTTACCAGACCAGGTTACAGTTGAAATACCATATCTCCAGAATGCTAACTTTATAGAGGATGGAAAAAAGTTTGTAACTTTAACATACGTTTATGTAACAAGCTTTTATTAAAATATAAAATATAAAAATATAAACAAATTGGAGGTTTTGATATGACAGTGATGACATAAAAGGTTTGACTAGCTCAAGAAGTCACAGTATGCGTTAAGCATAACCAGAAGAACTACAGACAAACTAGAAGAATAGTATGCTACCATAACGTACAAAAACTTTGGAACGGAAGCACCATGTGCAAAGGCAGAAGCTGTAAGATTGATGTGTTGGTATGTATTCACCACATCTCTGAACAGCTGAACAGATCTAGGTTGTACATCCAGTTTTTCACTTTTGAGAGACTTAGCAACAAGAACTCAACGTGAATCAGATAAAATTTGTGCAGAAGCTCTCTAAGTGTTATGTGTGTATACAATTTAGTAGAATAAAAATGCTCACGTAGGCAGTAGACTTTACACCTACACATATCCTCAAGACATGTGCGAAGGATCTTTTTCAGTTTGCCACCATCCACAGCTACAGAAATCATTCAATTGCTTCAACTCAGGAAATTAAAGGTGATGTGGTTGAATGTCCACTGCTGAGGAAAAACTAGTGACATCACAACTACACTTTCATATATGTCTTATATGTGTATATATATTTATATAATGCTCTAAATCATCCTTGCATTACAAACAGTACAAATGTAAGGATGCTCTGTCAATTTCAGTTTTACTTTCAGTGTCTTAATGTGTGGGAAAACATTTCTTAAAGCTTGGGGAAAGAGCCTTATGTGTCTTTCCCTGCACCAAGATGGACCTTCGGACATGCAGACCAGCTTATCTGCTTGCTCTGCACATTTGTCTCCTCAAAGCATGCTCTTTTACACACATGGCTGAAAAGATTAAAATATAAGCAATCATGATATTAAATCAACAGGATAGGTAAAGCTGAGGAAGCAGCCGGAAAAAAAACATTTACACATATAAATACCCACGTATCTTTGTGGGCATTTAGGGGGAAATGACACATTCATGTAGTTATTTACATTTATGTCACAGAGCAATTTAATGGTATATTAGCTTTTACCTGCACATTTTGCATCTTATTATTAGGCTGAAATCACAAGCCATTTAAATAAAAGCTGAGCTGCCCCATTCATAGAGTATATGACTGATTAGTTTACTCTGCTGTTGTGGAGACATTTGGCAAGTATCCTTTTTTATATGCATGTACTTGTACTGGTTACATGCCTGTATGGCAAAGAAACAATGATTGAAACTGAAAGCTCTCAAACAGAAAGCACCTCCAACTGTATTCTAGGGATCACAAACTACTAAGTGGAAAAATGTATTGTATATGAATATTTATACTGTCCTATAGGAACACAAACCAAAAATGCACAAAGAAAATGCAAGGAATCGACCTTGAAAGCTATCGAAGTCCAAAGGGAAGCTTTTTCCTCTATAGCTGCTCAAGGATCAATCAGTAGAACATCTCAGTGTAGGCTGCCGTTCTTCTGGGGATATACTTCTCAACTCTTCTTCACACACAAAGTACTTCTGGCTACTGATTTTTGGTTTGACTCTTCTTTCAGTGCCTGACAACTTTACTTCAAGTCACAATTTCCACATACTCAACTATTTCAAGTTTCAAAAAGGCTTGACTTTCAGCTTATAAATAAAGGAGGAGACACTTGAGTCCTGACGCCTCACAGAAACTCAGCCTCTTCTCCACTTGTTTGCTCTATAATTCAAAATGTAGTGTAAGTCGTCAGTTACTTAAACCTACTGATTCAAAGATGCCTGCTTTGGCTGAGAGGAATAATTTTTCATTTTAATGCACACTCCGTGGGTTTCTCCTGAATTTCAGACTAGATAGCTTGCCAAAAAGTAACACGAAAATTCCGGAAAATGTATATCTTGATGTTGATAAACGAAATGTTTCAGTGCTGTTCAAGTTGTTTAATAATGAATCAGCGGATAGATGTCTTATTCTTAGGACACAAGGTGGTTGATGGCTAAAAAGTAAAGATGATCTGAACATCACTGCATTTCTCTTATCAAACACTCCATTCAGAGCATTAATACAGAGTCAAATATACGTTCTAAAGTTTGAGGTCATGTAATAAAAAATGTGATAGAACTACAGTTATTACAGATGTTGACGATGCAACAAATACTCACGTCTCTGGAGAAAAAGCTCATGCCTAAGCCACGCAGGAGTGGAGGTGGGAGGGGGAGATGGATGGAGGCCTACCTGCCACTTGTCTTTCCCTGCTCCGCCAGTTTGATGCCACAGACGCTAATGGCTCTCAGGGGAGGCGGCAAATTAAGCGTGCTTGGCTAGTAATGAATTCAAAAGGCACATGTTCTCCAAATGTGGTCTCTAAGAGGCCTACGAGTTCAGAGTGCAAAACCAACCAGCCTCTAGCATCTCTAATCTTAGCTTCTAATGATCCGATCAACAGTGGGTGATAAATGCAATACAACACACAAACATATTCTTTCTTTCTCAGTCTGTTTGTCACGATTGGGCAGATTAGCTCAAGGCTTGGTTAACTTTTGAGTCTGGTCAGGAGCTGAGTAGAAAGCCTGTTACAGAGGAAATCACATTCCCTCCAACTCAAGGTTTGACAAAATAGCATGTATATTTAAAAAGGCTGAAGAGGCAACACGAAATTAAAATTCATGGCGGCTCACATTTCGAATTTGAAAGAGAATGCGCAAACAGCAGCACCTTATTGGAGACAAAAAGCGTTGGAAGTGCACAGTGGCGTCTCATGGCTGAATGGTACCTATTTGATGAGAGAAAAACAGACACCAATTAAATTATTCCACAAGGCTTTAGCCCAGTGGTCGCACAAGCGAAATCCAGGCACTCTGCTGGCCTGTAATCATTAGACAGCGCCCCGTTGGAGAATGCATAAACAGTGTCACCTCAACATGCTCACCAAGCTACAAAATTCATGTAATTTACTCGCTGTCAAACTCAAACGAGAGCCTTTTATCATTATCATAAGCTATCCAATGAGATACAAAAAACAAAGTGAAAAAAGCAAGAAGAGAAAAACTGGTTCCAGAGAAATATCATGACCCAAAACATCTTCATCTCAGTTCATCAGACCTATAGTCTCTGCTGTTCATCTGTTTGGGTATTCTGTGAACATCAAGGGCAACAAATTAAGCGTTACTTTCTTTGAGGGCTAATCATTATTTTTTTTCTTTAAAGGGGAAAAAAAAGAAAGAGTGATAACACCGCCACCTCCAGAGCCATTTGAAATTCTGACAGCGGCCCCCTCTCTCTCTCGGCTTCCTCCCCTTCCCCTCTGCCACCCCCGCCACTTCAATTGCTCCGGCCTCGGCGTGCATTCATCAGCTGCCGAATTAGAATTTGTT